CCGCGAGTTTTATCACAATTGGGTCAACCAAATTCTACGGTTACTTATCACTTGGTCTTTGTATGATCGATTTTTATCGGCAATAACCGTGTAAACGTGCACAACTCACTAAGGCTTAACTTTTCATGTGGTGTCAAATAACCTTCACTTCGCAAGTTTTTCTATGTCCTATTATGCCGATAGCAAAGTGAATAAAAAACTAGGAATACATTTTCAGGGCATAGTATTTAGAGGTTTAGGAAATCTACCGTTTATTGCAATGCACGATTGCACCATTCTCGCAACATAGTTTGGTAGAACATAAAATAGGTCCTTGATTATCTTCTGTACAAATAATGTGTTGATTGTTCTATTAGATGAGGTATGTTTTATATGTAAATATCTCATTAGGAGTTGTCTAGTGTGTGCTTAAATGCAGTAAAGTAACGTGCTCGCTATCAATGGTATAGGAAAGTGAATAGTTTAAAACGGTTGTAGCTCCAGAAGAAAACTTCAAAAAAGGGAAAAAGGCGTTGAAAATGACTACGGTGCTAATTGTTTTTGACTTTAAAATGAATGTCTTTATGCTAACCTATCAGTTCCACTGTTTCTTATATTGGCCGACTTCCAAGTATTGGTATATGAAGTTAGCTCATAAATATTTCTTAGCGGATTACATGTTTCCTGTCTTGTTAAAAAGTGATAAAACTGTAAAATTACCAAGTCAGCTAAACCAATACCACCATATTTTTGAGTTTACAGCCTATCGGTAAGCAATATTTATGTTACTTTCATATTTGGAACTGTTATCATTTTTGAAACCCGTTTTACGCATAAAGCTCTTTAGAAAGCTGTACAAAAACACAGTATGCACCGTCTATATTTGTGATTTGCCATCTACTCTCTGCAAGGGTTTTTGAATTGGTAATGCTGATTTTCAGTCAAGATTGGCCTGTCCATGTCATGTAATTTTACATTGAATGTAAACACGAAAGAGCATAAGGTTATCGTAAAATATAGAATATCCTGGTGAGGGGGCTGTCGTAAATACAAACCCAAACTAAAGGGTTTTGAAAAGCAAAATATTGGACAATCCTGAATGAAGCGGGATAAAGATGACAGGCGGCAGATTAAAGTTTTTTAAGATAAATACGCTGAAAATCTCCCAGTCAGCGGTTTTCCCAATATATGTAGTACTCATTTTTCTGTTTAAGAATGTTTTATGACAATCCTTGCATGGGATTAAGTCATATCGTCTGGTTTCTAGCGATTATTTATTACGTCTCTTGCGTAATTTAGGCACGCAGTGTCTGAGAGGTGTCTGAGATGCCTAAGATCCACTACCCGTCAGATGGGTTCTCTTCGAGCCCAGGTATTTCAGCAACGTACAAAGTGAGGTTTCGGAACAACGGACGTCTAGTTCACAGTAAGCGTTAGGGAAATAATGACATTATATTAAGAGCAAAGAGAATGGGATTTTGGAGAAATGTGGGGTATTTCTCACGATTGTATGTTTTGTAGAGTTGTGTTAATCATTTCAAGCATGTTATTCATCTACTGATTACATTATATATTATGTCATCCCTGAGTTAAACGTCAGCTAACATTGTGATATTATACTATCCAGATTTATAATAGGATTTAGAAACAGCTCTAACGAAATATTCATGTGCAAAAGGCAAAAACAAGATTAAAATTCATTTTCATCCCTTTAAGCTGAACCTTTTAATACAGTTTATGTGATATGCAACCGACCTAAGAAAATTAAATGTTATAACTCATTTTCCAATTTTGATTGTGACTATTTCTAAATGAATAAAACTTTTTTCAGTTTGGGTTCGTGAAGGTTGTGGGCGCAAGACATTCACAAAGTTTCAATTAAACTTTAAGACTTATTTATCCATTTTGCAGCCATTATGCTTTAAAAAGTAAATAATTCTTGTTTTCGAAGTCTGTGTTTATTTCACAGTGAGTGTAATTGTTCTCTGTCACAATGCAAGATGACGACACGAAAAGTCTATTTGATTTCAAAGCTATGAACACACACTGACAAGACAAATCGCTTTAATACTTTAAGTCTATGCAAATAAGTTGCCGATTTTCACCACTGATTACTCTTATGCTACGGATAGAGGACGAATGTATACAGTTTACGTCGATATTTTTCTGAATTAAATTTGCTTATTTGTATATTAAACAAATCATCTGATAAAGTAATTTTTCTGGAACTATATTTGAACTAATTTAGTCCCAGAACTCTACAAATAAGTTTTCCCTAGTTGGAAATTTCCACAGTCCAGTCTTTAGTTTGCCAGTTGCCAACCTAAATGACACAACAAATAAAATTTATAAGTTGCAAGTTAACATTTATCAAGCAAGATATTCTCTTCTAAGCATTCGTTCACTCTTGGAAGTACAAATCAGTCCCAATGAAAAACGTCTGAATTAGCCGACTGCAAAGGTGCGCTTTGAAAGAATACTGCATTCCTATTGCC